TATAGGTCTTAAAAAAAAAAAGAACCTGAGGATTGTATTTCTAAAGGAAAGAATGATGCTTAGGTGCCTCAGATTTATATTGTTGCTCAAAACATGGGACAGAAAGACACTGGGTCTCCACTAGGTAAAATACTTTCCCCGTTGGACTCTATCTTTGCTGAATTGAAAACAAATGGTTTGCGCATTCTCTAGGTATTTATAAGAGGTAGGTGAGATGGGGAGGGTCCCTGGAAAGGGCCCCTAACCACCCCCTCCCCTCACAGTGTCTGAAGTGAGTTCCACTGGAACTAGGGGTGAGCTGCTACCCATAGAGTACATCTGAATGGTCAGATATTCTAAGAGCAAATTCCAGAGGAAGTCCCCTTCGCCTGTTCTGCCCGCAGGTGGTGGGGCTGGGTCCTAATGCACAGTTCATTGGGTAAACTGCTCTAGGGGGAAAACAATCATCACACACACAGAGAGAGAGAGAGAGAGAGACCTAGAGAAAAATATCTAAAGAGAGACTTGGAAAGAGGGAATCAGACAGAAACAGAGATAGAGAGAAACACATATGGAAGGATCAAGGAGAGCTAGAAAGATAGAGAGCCCAACAGAGATTGAACTAAAGAAAATAAAAATATCCAGAGAGAAAGACCTCCAGAGAAAAACAGTGAAACAGAGAAAGACAGACAAACGTAGTGAGTGAGAGGGACAGGAAAACAGGCACAAACTCAAGCCCACCTAAGGGTGCTTACAGAAAAGAAACAGGAAGACAAAGAGAGACACATGTTGATCAAAGACGGCACGGTGGTATCCAGAGGTACAGAATGAGGCTCCGATGGAGACAGAGGAACCCACATAAATGCAAACAGGAACACTCCAGTCAGCGCTGCTCTCCCCGCCAGATATCTATTTCCCTGCTGCTGGAGCCATCTGACTCCCCTGGTACTGCTCATGCCACACGTTCAGGATTGGTACCTGGTCCCCAGTTTCTAAAAACACTACAAAGGTTGAAACCTCTCTCCTCCCCCAGCTTCTACGAATTGCCACCTGATGCTCCCGGACCGCCCGCCCTGCGGGGCTCATCCCATCCCGTCCTTCCCTCGCGGTCCCCTTTCCTCTGAGAACCTCCAGGCGCGGACTGGGATGGCCACGGAGTCTGGGTTAGGGATCCACCAAGCTCTCTGGGGCCTTCCCTCCACCCCCACCTTGGTTGGGCTCCCCTCGTGCTAGTAACCTTGAAGAGGGCGGCGTCCTCCTCGCGGTTGTAGTCTTGCTTGCCCGCGTGCTTCCAGGGGATGCGGAAGATGCTCTTCTCCTCGTTCTCCCACACCAGCCCTGGGTACTTGCCGCTGTCGATCTGGTCGATCAGCCACTGGCGGAGTTTCCCGTTGCCGCAGCTCACCGAGCTCATGCCGAACTCTCCGCCTCGGCCGCTGCCCTCCAGGTTCATGCCCAGCGCGCCGACTGTCGCCCTCACGCGCCCAGGATCCGCCTCCTGCACTCGCTCTGAGCGGCAGAGAGGAGGGCCAGCCTTTAGCCACCCCAGCACAGCGCTCGGGGCACCCTTCTCAAACCCTTCTGACAATGACCACGAGGCCCTGGAGTCTCCGAGACAGCTAGGAGCGCTCTGTAAAAGTCCGTGTCGCCCAAGGCCCCTGAGAGAAAGCACCTTCTCAGCTGGCCCGGTCTCATCCCCTTGGCACGCCCGGTCCTCAGCCTCCCGAGCGTGCCTCCCGCGGAGTTCATCCTCCTGCCCCACCTTCTGGACTCTCCATTCTTGTTACACACCCCACAGGCCAAACGCTGCCCAGGCAACACAACTCGTGCCTTTGTGCACACTGCGAAATCCAGCCACCACCACACTCTGGCACCGTTTGCGTGCTCACTCTTAGTTCCCGCTCTTCTTTGCCCATTCCCAAACCGTTGCCAGTACATTTCTCCCTTCATTGTCAGTTACCACTCGTGCCCACTCCTTTGGTGGGCCCCGCGCGCCAAGCATCTCGCACGTGGGAACGAACGCCTGCGGTCTGGACGTTCCAGGTGCTCAGCATCAGCAACTCCTGCTCGGGCCTTCTCCCATACCTGCACTCTCTGCCCCAAGAGAATCCCTGAGCCTTCGGCAGCTAGCAAGGATTAAGTGGGCCGTGGGAGCAACACGCGGCAGAGACCCGGCCGGAGGCGAGGAGCGCAGCCAAATAGCGGGAGATTCTGGCGCGCAGAGCATCAGCCCGACCCCGGAGGCCCGCGCGAGAGAGCGGAGGCGGGGAGGATGCCAGGAGGGTTCTCAGAGAACACGGGGTTGAGGCAGCAGAGTGCAGGGCCCCAAGTGGCCCAAATTCGGAGCTCCTCCTCCTCCACCACCAGTCGGGGAGTAATGCGCGGGAGGCGAAGGTGAGTTTGGGCCCTTAGGGGCCGCAGGATAAGGAGCAGCCTCGGACTGAAGCCTCTAGAGTAAGAGGCTGTCCTCCCTCAGGAAAGCCCGCCGTCCTGTGTAGGTACTTTCGAGGGCCCCGCCTTGGCCACTTCTGGGGCCCTGACAGCCTCTTTATCCCATCCCGTCCAGCGCGTGGCCTCCCCGGGCCTGGGCGGGGCCGAACCACAGAGTGGTGAGGGCAATGCTTGGGCATTGTCCCGGCTGGCCCACCACAGAGCCCACACAAAGGTCCCGGGGCCCAGAGCAGACGTAGTGGGAGTCGGGGCTCCTTCAAGGGGCATGCTCCCTCTCGGGTCCTAAGCTGGGGTCGCCTGCGCTGCCCTCGAGATGGACCCCTGAACCTCTAGTCTCGTGCTCCCGGTTCTCTATTGTGCCAGCCTCACATCCGTTCTCCTACCCGATCCCAAGCCTTACCTCGCCCCCAACTCGGAGCTGAGGGCAGCAGTGGGTCCCAAGTTCAACTGGTGAAACTAAGTATCGGAGGTGGGAAAGAGGAACTTATAAAGCTTAAAAGCCCGCTGGGGCGGAGCCTGGGGCGGGGCTGGGCGGGTACGAAAGCGCCTGCCCGGTTGGGGCCAGGGGGGCGCTGTGAGCGGAGACTGGGGAGCCGCGGGAGAGCCCCGGGGCCAATACTAGAAGGAGCGTGTGTTGGGGGGTCTGCTGCGGCCAGGCTGGGGGCCCTAGTGCCCGCTGCGGTCCACCTCGCGTTGCGCGGGGCGAGCGCACCTCGAGTCGGGCGTGCGCGGCCGCGGGGACCTTAATGTGGGCAGGTTTCCTGCAAAGGGCAAGGCGCGAAATGGGGACCTCGCCTCAGCGCCAGGTCCTGCGGGAGGCCGGTTGATAATAACTAATAACAGCTAAACAACTGCGATGTGGTTAGGACGGGAAGTGGGGGCGTGTAGGAGCGGGAATCTGGAGTGAGGGGGACTTCACTTGAAGAGCATGTAACCAAAAACGGAGGAATTGTCCACATCGTAGAATTGTGGGTGGGTGGCGAGCACCCTTGGAATCGCAGCTATTGCTGAAAGCCCTGCCTTCCTAGAGAAGAGTCCTAGAGAACATCCTACTCATTAATTAGCAATAATCACGCCTCGGATACTTTGAGCTATAAACTGTGGCTCAAATAATGTCTGTCCATATGTTTGAAATGTTCACAGACTTTTGCATTTATTAAACTGGTGAATTGAGGTTACTCAGAAAGACAATGCATTGTCCCCAAAGTTTCAGTTATGGCAACATAAAAGAGTGGGGGGAGGGGTCTCGAAGTATCCAAATGCTTAATTGCTTCTGGACTTCAGTTCACCTTAAAATGACATAGTTTTAACATCAGTCTGGTAGGAAGCAATTTTCTAGTGAGATATAAATGTCCAGAATAGAAATAATATTTTAAAAGACCTGAGATTTTACTTAATTTTCCAAGATGTCCTTAATATTAAAATTAACTCCCTGTGCATCTGCCCACTAAGCTTTCACCAGAGCATCTTGTATGCTTCCAGCATGTTTACGTACTTAGCAATTTCAGGTAAACCGTCAGATCACCGGTTTCTATATGATTTTAGACCACCACCACCCTAGGTCAACTTGCAACTTTTGAAAAGCTTTTGATTTCACTTACTTCTCAGTTTTTCTCTTTTAAACTTACATGTTAGGTCAATGTCTCCTATCCAGAGAAAAAACTAAATTTAGGCTAGAGTAAAACAGGCAGTGAGGCACAGATTAGGTATGTTTTTCCTAAAACTAACGGACTTTCTCAGAAATTAACAGGATGCCATATTTTTATTCACCCAAGCAAGTTTTCCATTATCAGAGTCTATGTAATAAATAACAGTTTTGTTCAAAGAAAATTCTAGTCACAACCTGTTTTTCTTCCTTTCTTTTCCTTTCACAGATTCATTCATTCAACAAATATTTTTTGAGCACCTGCCACATGTCAGAAACTGTTGTAAGCACTTGGGATACTTAAGTGAACACAGCAAAGATCACTGCCTTCATGTTGATTACATTTTAATCAGTGGGTTACTTTACCCCAAAGTGTTCTCAACAAACAGAAAGAGATTGCTAAGAACAAAAATGGCAAATGAGCTTTTTGCCTTTCCTCCTGTGTCTTCTGCACCAGGTTTAGAAAGTTTCAACATTTTCTTCACTCATCTACTTTTAGAAGTGCAAAACAACAGTCATTGTATGAAACTTTCTGAGACTTCACATCTACCTTGCTTTAAAATGTGATTGCTAATCTTCAACGCCATCTTCTGGTTTACTCATTTGTCATATTGATCTGCTAGAAGTGATTTTTGTTTTGTTTTAATGATGAGGTGAATACAAAGAATAATATATTTCAAACACTAAAACTCTTGATGTCCTCATTACCCCTGGTGAAGGGGAGGGAGTAAATAGGTAGGAGTTGCCAGTTACTCAGCAAAGACTTACATCTTAGTCATAGTTGAAACAAAAATGACAAAAGTTTTTAAAAGTTGAGCATTCTCCCCGCCCCCCATACATACACTTGAGTAAACCGAAGGGCTCTTCAGTAACGGTAAAAGACTAGACATTTATCTTCAAATGTCACAACCTGTTAAAAAGTGAAAACAAATAGGAAATCAGTTAATTGAGTGTCTATCCAAAACAGAAGCTGATCATTATATTCCGTGAGGAGGTTATTTCAGTGAGTTTCCAGAAGTTGTAACTGGAGCCCAATCTGAATGGCGCATTGCAATTTTCAATTTACATGACCATAAAAAGACTGTAAGACAGGTTACATTTACTTAAATTCAATATGTTAACAAGTTAATTTTTTAAAATTCATATTCAAGAAAAATATTTTTTAAAATTTTATTTAGGGGCGCCTGGGTGGCTCAGCCGTTAGGCGTCTGCCTTCGGCTCAGGCCATGATCCCAGGGTCCTGGGATCGAG